TTTCAGCAATTACTTTGTGCTTGATATTTTAGAAGCTATGAAAAACAAGAATAAGAAACAAAGATACATGCTAACTTTGAAGAATTAATGCAAGCAAAATATATATTGTACACTATTTTCTATGCTTTTTAAACCTCAGCTTCATAAATATTCTCTGGAGTATTTTGACAGTTTTTGCCCCTATTTAATTAATAAAAACAGGGCAATTCTAAGACAAGAAAACCTGGTTACAGCTATAACCCAGTGGGCTTGGAGACTAAACTAAAATTAGTGAATCATTCCACAATAGTATTCTAAGCTGAGAGCAGACAGGAACCCCCTGAAGAAGCAGGAGTCCAGAATCTCTATTCAGACCTACTGAGATAACATCATGGGGACCAGGACTGCAATTCCATGCTTTGTAAGCCTGCCAGGTAACTAACGCACAGCCAGAACTTATTTGCAACCACCTGGATTTTCCAGACCTCTTCATGTTCAATTTCAAATCATTGAAGAGCTAATCTTTTCATTTCTCAACAAACGTCCATTAGTCTCTTACTTAAATGTCAATTCAAAAACAGAGCCTCCGCTGTCGTTGCAAATTGCAAGAGTTGGATCATCTGTAAACTAAACAGAGAAGGAATTTGTTCTTAAAAATTTAAGCAACCGGGCAAGTGTTAAGAAGATCATGGGAGGAAAAAACCATAAATTTTTGAAAATCTACAACATACACATTTATCATCTGAAATAACCCAGTTTAGCTCCTCACTTTAAGCATACAAAATTGTCCTTCTGATAAAATTATCTCAGTATCTTTTAGGAAAAATACTGAGGCTTTCAAAAAGTAAAACAGGGCTGGTGAGATGGCTCAGCAGGTAAAGGCGCTCATTGCCATCCCCAGGACCCGCATGGTACAAGGAGAGAACAGACCACAAGTTGTCCTCTGACCCCCACATGCCCACCATAGCATGTGCCACTGCCCACAAAATGCACACAATATGTAAGTAAATGTTTTTAAAAAGTATAACAAGATTTCATCCAGATTAAAGAAAAATACTAACTATGGTTAATAAAAACCGTGAAATTCTTACCTGGGATATTACATTAAGATTTTACGATAAACGAAAAGGATCATTTGGATACATTTGAAGTTGACTAGTTTTCAAGGATGAAGACATACACAGTAAAAATTTTTTGCTATCTTGGGAAAATAAATGTGTTTGAATAAGTTTTCTGAGTAACTGAAGAGTTAATCCACTATAAATCAACTTTTATATAACTCTCCCTAAAATGTGCTCTCTTTGATCATTTTAATAGACTATTACCAATTATATATCATATTGTTATATAATACTACCCAACATGGAAAATTCAGAATAATAATTTTCATAATAACACAGTCATAGGCCAGGTACAGTGGCACATGACTTTAATCCCAGCACTCAGGAGGCAAGGGCAAGCAGATCTCTGTAAGCTCAAGGCCAGCCTGGTCTACATATAGAGCTGTAGCCCAGCTGGAGGTACAGGGAGAGCCTGTCTCAAAAAAAAAAAAAAAAAAAAAAAAAAACCCACATAGTCTTAAGGTCATATGAGGTACAGTAAATGCTACAGAACATAAAAGGAAATAATGAAATTTGTGTTGATTCACAAAACCCAAAAATTGGTGAGCCATTCTGAATGCAGCCTTTTTTTACCCAGAGATGGCTGAGATACAAAAGCCACTGTAAACTTCTTCCTCAATCCCACACACAAATATAACCAGGAAGTGCCCCACCTCTGTTGTCAAAGCCCAGAGGAGCAGCTATCAAAAGGAGAAGTGTATATCCATGGATATGCATGAGGCAGGCCACTCCAGCACAGAAAAAGTAAGAGAATGGGCCAGGCCTGGTGGCACATGCCTTTAATCCCAGTACTTGGGAGGCAGAGGCAGGCAGATCTCTGTGAATTCAAGGCCAGCCTGGTCTACATAGTGAGTTCCAGGACAGCTGGGGCTACAGGGAGACCCTGTCTCAAAAAGACCAAAAAAAAAGTAAGAAAACTTATATTTCTGTTTTACTGTTCTACATTTTCTGTATTTATAATACGCTTTAAGTTAGTGCAGTAGTACATTTATAAAGTTATACATGAATATTCATATATGAAGGACACAAGCCTTAACTGTTATTGATGAGATAGAAATTAGGCTAAGCTTGGAGAACACTATACAAGAACTACAGTGCAAGTAGGTGCTGTGAGTCTAAGACTTCAAAAATATTCAAGCACATGTGTCTCTTTCTCTAAGTGCACTGTCTGTACACTCGACTTTCAAACCATTCCCAAGCAACACAATGGTTCCTGTAACTGTATTTTTAATCTCAACTGCACCCTTCTCTTTTCTCTCTGCCTTTTATTTCTTCTCTTTCTTACTGTCTTCTCCCAATAATTTCTTTTCCTTTATTTTTTTTCCTGTTTTTATTTTTTAACAAAAATACTTAGTAATTACTTCAAGCAAACATCTACCGAACAGTTACTATAGGCAAAACACAAGATAAATGACAGATTCTGTTTTCAAAAGTCTTAATTTCGGAGCTCAGTGGTTAAGAGCACTGGCTGCTCTTGTAGAGGACCCAGGTTCAATTCCCAGCACCCACATAGCACCTAACAACTGGCTATAACTCCAGATAAAGGGGATCTGATGCCCTCTTCTGGCCTCTGCAGGCATTGCATGACATGGGTGCATTTACACACATTCAGGCAATATACTCATACATAAAAAACCCAAAATTAATAAAAAAATATTTTTAAAATAATAAAATATTTTTAAAGTCTAAACCTACTAAGAAAGATAAGACATATACAACCAACTATAACATTAGAAGTTGGCACATGCTATAGGAAAAGGTCAGAATAAATTGGCTCCAATTCTTGAAAGAGGAGAAACCCTAACTTCTCTTGGATGTTTTCATTGTTACTAAATGCTTCAATGCTGCTTTGTCACAAAAGACATTTTTGTAACTAACCTAGATGCAGATATATAAACTCCAGATGCTGCAGGCTTTAAAAAGCATGTGTGTGGATAAAAGAGCTGCATAGCTAAGCAATAAAGTATGCACATGATTAAATCTAGGACTGATTTTAAAACTCCCTTGTTACAGCCCTTTACCTTTTATGCTTCTGAAGATGGGTTTGCCAGCCTGCAAACAGCAAGGCTCACATGTACTTATAAATGAAATCTGTTACCTAAGTCAGTTTTATGTTTTTCAGGCCTGAAAGCAAAAAACATCAACACTGGGATCTTAAGGCTTAATGCTTTTCCTTTAGAGGCCTGAAAGAAAATAAACCAAAAACTTCGTTTCTAAATATAATCCAAACCCTGGTTCTTCTTCATTTCAGGCACCTCCCAACAATGGGCGACAGCACACCCACAGCAATAAAATCTTGGCCAACAAAACAAGGTTAAAAAGACCTTTTTAAACGTCCATATGAGTTTTCAGCAGGGTGCTGCTCGCCTGTTGCCAAACCCCTACTCTGGGATCAAATCAATTTGCTCTTTTTGCTGCTGAATCTGTTAAACCTCAGTACAACCTGAATTGCTGAATATTTCCACACTAGCCCATCTCTGGTTTTTAATTTGAGAAAACACCTTGTTGGACTCAACAAATAATATCCAACTTCATTAATGTGTTTAGAGGGTTTCTGATTATCAATATAGATAAATTAACTTTAAAGTGGATAAAAAGGCATAATAAAACAATTAGCATAAGAAAGCAAAGCTATTACCTTGATATGTAGTATTGCTGTTCCTGGGGGATGAGCGTCTGTTATTGATCTAAGGAGTTTTCCACTGGCCAAATCCCACATGGTGATCTGTAAGACAACTAAGTGCTTTAAAAACAAATTTATTGCTCTTTTTTGGATTTAAGTAACTTGCCTTCTGGCTGACATAATCTATTCCTTGTCTATAAACATTACAGGCAAAAATCATCAAGTTAAAACACACCTACAAGTTGGGACTCCATTAAAGCACAGGCCTTGATTTCATCTATGCATGCCTTCACCCTGCCCAACTCACTTACCACTTATAGTTTGAAATTTTTCTGATAAGTCAATCTGTTTAGCACTGGTAAAAATGAATACAAAATGTATCATAACAAACCAGCCGGTGATGCAAAAATCAGGAAATAAGGAAAACCATTACCAGTTTCAGAAGCAGAAAGAAAGAAATATCAAAACTATTATGCAGGAACAAAGCAATAAGAACACAGGGAAAGACTGTAGTATATATAAAAGCAGCCACAGCAGCTGGGGACATGGCTCAGTTGGAAAAGTGCTTGTTTTGTAAGCATAAGGACCTTAGTCCAATCCCCAGAACCCATGGATGTTGTGGCATGGGCTTGTGTTCCCAGCACTGGAGAGGTGAACAAGAGGATCCCTGGGGCTCACCCAGCTAGTTAGTCTAGCACAACTGGTGAACTTCTGGGCAAGGAGAGACCTGCCTCAAAGGAGGTAGATGATAATTGAGGTTGTCCTTCAGCCTCCACATGTGTGTGCACCACATACATGCACATGCACCGGCCAACACACACACACACACACACACACACACACACACACACACACACACAATCCTTCCTTCCTCTTGTCTAGAACAACTCGCCCGGAC